GATGAATGAATAAATGTTACACGGTAAAAAAAAAATTATTATTTAAAAATAATTGCAAATATTTTAATAATAAATATACCAACACAACAGTAATAATTAGTAATAAAAGTGAATGAAATAATAATTAATTATGCATATACATTATGTCGGCTAATATAACAATAATAACATTAATGAAAGTAAAATAAAATCACAAATGAACATAGACTGGAAAAAGCAACTAGGTGGTTAATATTGGTAAAATTAATATTTTACAACGTTAAGGAAATCGTTACAATCATGTAGGCGTGGAAGGTAATTGGACTAGACTTGTTATGTTTACTCAAGTTGCTTCTGAAAACGCCAGGCTATTTGAGTTAAAAAATGTTGCCTTCCTAGATTTTGGAGGAAATCTATGTACGCTCATATTACAAATATATTAATATTTCATGCTACATTTAATGATTCAAAAAATACTTGGAAAAATATTTTTTTATAAAATTGGTATAATATCAGAAACACACAAATCACGTATCGTATAAACGTGTTTGAGTATAGCATTATTTCGGTTCGTTTGAATCCCTTCACCATACTAATATTATAAACATAAAAGGGAGAAATGAGGTGGTCGTGCGCTTTGTTGACGTGTAAAAATTGAAATAATTATATCAATTGTTTTTTAATTACACTGAAACGCAATGGAGTTGCTTACTACTACTTATACTACTATTTACTAATACTTCTACAGTATTACTACTACTACTACTACTACTACTCATACCATACCAATACCACTATTACTATCACAACTGGTGGTGTGTACCACCACAGCACAGTAATTTGACGTTTGCGTTGAAGACGATTTTTCCAGTTTAATTCACGCTCAGTTTCAAAACAATATTAACTCGGTTTAAAAACAAACCCAAATAGAAAAGTGAAGGGAGGGTGTAAGAACATTGTAAAGTTATATAAGTGAATGTTATATATATATATATATATATTATTTTTTTTCTTTTCTTTTTTTTCGCGGCAGTCTGTTTTTCTCGCGCCAAGCTCAAGAAGAGAGAGAAAAATGGAAAAAAAGAAAACGATACCCCGTCTGAACCCGACATCGTTCTCGGGAAAAACTGTTTCTCACCCTCAGCTCTGCACCCCTTCCTAAGCGACGTCTCGGAGACCACTTTCCTCCACTCCAACACCCCTCACGTTATTCGTGGCTCTGTTCCGACCCCAATGCCACTAAACCACGTGGCTCCGCGGCTAGCAATAAGAAATCAGTCGTTTGTAACGAACAAAGACAAATGTTATAAAAGGCCGTCGCTACTACTCACAACCCGACCTCTCCCCCGGTCATCCATCCTCATG